GGCCGGGCCGCCAGGTCTTCATCCGGCCGAAAAGCCGGACTGGAGCCAGGCCGGGGCCACCACCAAGCCACTGGGCCGCCAGGCCGCGCCCCTCGCCAACCGGCCGCGCCCGGGCCGCCAGGCCTCCCTCGGCCGCCAGATCTTCCTCCGGCCGAGAAACCAGGTCGGAGCCAGGCCGCGCCCCTCACCGTCAGGTCTTTCCTCCAGGCCGAAGAGCCGGGCTGTCGGGGCGTCAGGCCGCGGGGCGTCGGGGCGTCAGGCCGCGCCCCTCCCCGACCAGGCCGTGCCCCTCAACAGCCCCAACAGCCAGGCCGCGGCCGGGCCGTCAGGTCTTCCTCCAGGCCGAGCCATCTTCCTCCAGGCCGAACCGTTCGGGCCGCGTCTCTCGCGGCCGAGTCGTTCAGGCCGCGTCTCTCCAGGCCGAGCCGTTCGGGCCGCGTCTCTCGCTGTTCGGGCCGCGTCTCTCGCCGTCTTCCTCCAGGCCGAGCCGTTCGGGCCGCGTCTCTCGCCGCCCAGGCCACGACCAGGCCGTCAGATCTTCCTCCGGCCGAGAATCGAAGGCCGAGCCTACCGCCGGGCTACCAGGCCACACCCCCAGCTCAGGCCGAGACCTAAGAGACCGGGGAGCTCAGCCGAACCCAGGGGGCTCAGGAAAACCGGGGGTGACCGGTAAGTAGTTCCTCCCGGCCGCCGGAGGACCCAGCACCCTAAATCAGGGTCCAGGCATAGCCTACGACCCTCCGAGGCTCCCCCATTCCCGCCGCCGGCTCCGCTTCCCTACGGAGCTGTATCCAGTCGATCCGCCATGCAGCTAGCTAGTTAAATTGACCATGTAAGATCTCATTAATCAACTGCATGAATATGGCTGGGACCCCCTGTAGTCCAAATGGCATGACCTTGAATTGATAGCTCCCCATGGGGCAGCTGAAGGCAGTTTTCCACTCGTCTCCCTCCTTTATTCTACCCGGTAATATGCCTCTCTCAGGTCTAATTTAGTGAAGACACTCCCCTTAGCCAGATGGGTTAATAAGTCCTTTAGGAGGGGGAGGGGGTATTTGTTTTCCACACTCACAGCGTTGAGACCCTTATAGTCTACGCAGAGATGAAGAGACCCATCTTTTTTCTTTTTTTTTTGAACAACACAGGGGCTCCCATGGTAGATTTGGCCCGTTTAATGAACCCCCTCGCTAGGTTTTTGTTCACGTATTGCTGCATCTCCTCCATTTCGCAGGGGGACATAGCATACATTCTCAGTCGTGGGAGTTTGGCTCCTGGCACCAATTCGATAGAGCAGTCATTGGGTCTATGAGGGGGCAGGGCATCGCATTCTTTTTCACTAAATGCCTCCGCTAGGTCCCGGTATTCGCGGGGGATGACTGGTTTGCCTGGAGACGGTGAGGCAGCCATGTGCACTCGCTCATTGGGTGGCCTAAGGTGTTCCGTAACGTCGGTTGAATCGGTGGGAGGTTTAGGCCCTACAGGTAGTCTCACAGTTCTCATTCCTTTCTCCCACCAGATAAACGGCTTCCATTTGACCAATCAGGCTAGCCCTAGGATCACAGTCTCAGTCATTTTTGGAGCTACCAGGAAGTGAATAAACTCCCAGTGCTCACCTATTTCTAGGCATAGGGGCTCAGTTAATTGCGTGACAAGAGTCCCTCCCATCAGGGAGCCATCGGCTTGCTCAAACCTCACAGGCTTGGAGAGTAGTTTTGCCTGTATACCCAATTTCATGGCAAACGGCAAGCTAATGATGCAACGGGAGCATCCAGAATCAATTAGCACGTTTAAGTCTATTTGTGCCCCCGACTTAGGGATTATAAGTTTGGCGGCCAGTGAAAAAGGCGGGACTTGTCGACTCACCATCGGGTCATTCTCTCCTTCGTCATCGCTGTCAAAGGAGGGTAGAGCAGGGGCGAGTCCACCCGGAGTCCCGGTGTGTGCGGGGTGTAATCTGGGCAAAAGGTTCTTGTGTGACCCGGTTGGATTTTTCTCTCGTTAGCTCTTGGGCAGATTTCCTTCTCACCACTGATTCCGGTCTGCTCTGCAGTCGGGGGTAGGGGACCAGACAGTTTGCTACTCGATGTCCCTTCTGTCCGCACCAGAAACACTTAATTGACGGGCCTGCAGCTGGCCTGGGTCTTTCAGCCATTGCAGTAGTCGGAGGGTTTCGTGGGGGTGATTGTTGTTCGGGTTGCTCTGGCTGTTGCTCAGATTCAGGTGGGGGAGGCTTCTTATAGCGGGCGAGCTGAACGTCTAGCTTCACCGCTGCCTGGTACCATTCTTGCAGCTGATCAGGTACTGCTCGATAGATGCAGGCCTGAGAGGTGATCATCTAATCCCTCAATGAAGTGATGGATTAGGGATTGTTCAGGCCACCCCTCCATTCAACCTGCTATTTTGCGGAATTTTCGCACGTACTCCAGGGCAGGCCTGCCGGCTTGTTTTATTTTGTTGATTTGTTCTCCTGCTTTGAGACCAATAGATGGGTCCTCAAATCTTTCTCTCAGCCCTAGGAGGAAGAGGTGGGGGTCCTCCAATTCAGGGGCTTGCTCATTATATAAATTGTTCAGCCATTTGGATGCTTCTCCCTCTAGGCTGGACGCTATCACATCGACCATGGCACCTGGGTCTGGGTAGAGATAAGCCCAGCGGTTCAAATGACAGCATACTTGGTTGAGGAAGAAAATCATTTTCTCTGAGTCCCCATTGAAGGTTGCTCTGAAAGGAGGTGCAATTATAGCCTGTTGGGGTCCCCACTGTGGCTGTTGCTGCTGGCCCCATCCTGGTTGCTGTTTCATGCCCAGGGGTTGCATGTTCAGGAGCTGTGGCCACACCCCCTGGTGCTCTAAGTCCCTCAGCGGTTTCTGTACGTTCAGGGGCAGTGACCAATCTCCTTGCTGTGGTCGTCCTCTCACCAGCTGCTGATCTCCTGGCTTCTGCACCACCCCAAGCTGTTGTAAGGCCTCTATTAGCTGTGGCAAGCTCAGATGCTGCTGACCATCTACCTGTGGGGAGTGCCAAACTCCCCATTGCTGCAGAGGCCTCAGACTGGGATTCCCTCTCTCTTCAGGGCTGGAGTCCCTGGCAGGGGAAGACAGGGTATGAAAGGCTGTCTGATTTGCAAGGGAGGGGCTGCAGGCTTCTCTCTGCAGGAGCTGATTTCTGCTTCTCACCTCTAGCTTTTCAAATCTTTCCAGTGACTCACCCGAATCTTCAGTGGCAGGCGACCTGGTAGCTCTCCACCAATCTGTATTTGTCTGCCAGCCATTTGTCTGCCAAAATTCATCTTCCCACAGCATGCTGTCTGTTGCTTTCCCCTCTGGGTTATCAGTAGCTGCTGGGTCTTCAAGCAAACTCCCGTTTCTCATGATAGATTTTCCTCCCCTGAATCTTTACCAGCTCCTCTCAAGCCTAGAGACAGCGGATGGAGTTCAGGACCCCAGGTCGTTTGAAAAGGATTGAGAGCTTAGCATGATGTCAAGGTTCCGACTAATGAAATACTTCAAAGAACTTTCAGGCATTGTTTATCCTAAAAAGTCTTTTATTAATGTTACAAAATGTCAGCATGGCATGAAGAGGGATGCTAAGATCTAAATTCTCCTCCCCTGAGCACATATTTTGCCAGCATGTTCCCTCCCTCAATCTGCTGTCATAAATCACGTTCTCCTATCAGCTTAAAGGGCAAAGGTTCTCTTCCGTTTATGTGGGAGTTTTATCTAATATAATTACCCACATACATTCTTTCTCCTCCCCTCCCAGCATCATCTGAGTTAACTCTAAAAATACCACAGCTCTGCATATTTTGTCAGACCAAGAACATCCAATGTTAGCAGCGTTGACACTTACATTGGAAACAAAATGATCACTAAGAGAACATATGACAGAGAGAAATGGAAAAGACACTGTAAAGATCACTGGTTGCTGCCGTCTTTTTCAGAGAAAGTTCTCTCATACAGTATCTTGTGGCTGACGCGTTATTTCACTCATTTTCCTTTCCTTTTCCCTCCACGTAGAGCAGAGGTTGTTTTTCTCCAAAGCCTTCTCCAGAATGTGCTAATCACAAATTAACAAGCCCAGGTCTTAATTAAGTTGATTGGAACCCTCCTGTCAGATGACTCTGCTGCCTGAATCTGACCAGATCAGTTTCACAGCTTTGGTTGCCAGGCATAGGAAATTTGGTCACAAACGCATGATTGGTTAGAAAAAATGATTTTTTTTAATTAACTAGGAGTGCTTATATTGTTGACAACCAACTAAATAAATCAATGCTTAAAGTAATATTTCCAATCAGGTGAAGCTATCATTCTTACGTTGTTAAGTTTCATGATATACTTCTTCACCAGCTCCTTCAGTTCTGGAATCAGAGTTTCTGCTCCAAGCAGCAAATGCTCCACAAAGAGGGACACTGAGAACACCCTATTCCATTGGTTCCTATTGGGAAAAAAACCCTAATTTATTAAAAAAGAAAAAAAGCATACTATCAAAAAGCTAAACTGAAAAACAAATGGACTCTAACTATATAATAAAGAGATCAGTACTGCCTTTTATGGAAGCAAATAAACCTATGAATTCACTTGCAAGCCCGACTTCAAGTAGAAGCAAAGGATTACTTTGGGAATTAACAATTGACCCAGGCCATCTTGAAAACTGGGGTTAAGATGTGATCAAGTGCAGCAGGGCAGAGGAACAAATGCATCTGCTCTTGCCAAAAGAGCTTGAAGTACACATTAGTCCTCTTGAACCAATCTAGCTTCAAAAAAATCATGATTGTCAAACATAGCATTCCACGCTTGCCACTTTGCAGGTTCAGATCCAACCTAGGTTAGGATTTAGACAACAGGAACTAAGGATGTTTAGAAAGCATGCGATTATCATAGGAAGTCAACTTATAAAGTTGGCCGGAAAAAAGTCAGCAACTTATCAACAATAGAAAAAAGCAACCATGAAATGATGTTACCACCATCAAAAGTAGACCCAAAACAACATTTTCTACCACCCTGAAATATTACTTACTTGACCTCTTGAAGCATTTGGCTGCATTGGCTTCCACTGCCTTGGCTGCAATTTGCTGCACATACAAATTCAATGGGCATTTGAAGGTCCTTCACCTTCTGGAGCCATGCACGAGTTTTCCATGTCAGGACTGCCGAGGATAACATTTCAGTACAGGCCAGCGCAGCAAACACATCTAGCACCTATGGCAAACAGGCATAAAGAAGCCTCTTACTACACACGTGTAATGTAAGAACATACACTTCGTCTTACCGTTAGGACCGAGAATTACATTAAGATGATCGAATCTAAGCATCCTTTGGTAAAGTAGACCAACTTGGATTTTGATGCTCTCACTGCCTCATTGTGTTTATGGTTTTGTACTTTGCTAAATACTTTGCTAAATAATCTGACAAGTATGGTGGTATAAAAATCAAATACGTAAATAGTTCCCTAAATAAATACAAGGAGTTCTCATTTAGCAACTGCCTTGTTTAGCAACCGTTCAGTTATGACAGTTACAAAATTAATTTTATGATCAATCTTTGCCATTCACAATCTTTGCAGGTCTGTAAAGCAAAGGAAAGCTGGAGTTAAGATCATAATCAGTCATGATTTAATGACAGTTTTACCAGCACTTTGCTTAATAACTAAGTTGCCAGTTCCAATATCAGTCACTAAATGAGGACTACCTGTAGTTCCCTTCTGTAATACCATTACTGATTTTAGGTGGCTTTCTTCCCATCTATCCCACCCATCAGTTTTATTGGCCCATTTTACTTCCCCTTGATTTCTGTTTGACGTTTTGATTTTGACTTACATTTCTACTGACTTAAAATCCCCATTTTTCTTTTCATGTCAACTTTACAATTGTTTTCAGCCTGCTTTATTTGCTTAATGAAAAGCTTTCGTTGTAATTTTATCACGATATATTGAGATCAGTTACCTATATCTTATTTAAATTTCAATTTTATTTATGGGAGAGTAAGTATTATATATGAACATCTATAAAAGCAATTCTATTATTTGACCCCGCTTAGGAGATTCTCCCATGTATTCCCATTACAAAACAAATACAATCATTAGGAGTATATAGCCCATAAAAGCATTTTTGAAGACCTGCCTGGAGCTTCTTTTTTGCAGACAGATTCATTTCTCCTGATTAAGAACACAGAGAGAATACCACTTCCCCCACCCCACCCCAGGTGTCACGTTTTCCTATTAAGATTAAATGTTACAGCCCACCCACCATTTGACTGGGCAATGTGCAGCTTCTGTTCTTTTCTCTTTCTTCAAGGGTATGAAGCACTTCAGGGTAAACAGCAAGAATCCGGGAAAAGTTCTGCAGACGACTCCTAAACTGATGATAACCAAGGTGGACCCAAGGAAGGGAGGATACTCTTGTTCCTGCACCAGAAGAGGCGGCCTTCATTTCTTCCACACATGACAAGAGGGCCGCTTGCAACATCTGAAAATATACAGCAGCATATTTGAAGGTGATTCTCCTCACAATCACCTGATGAATCATAAGGATTTCAATAGTCTTTCCAATACATGGGACACATTTATCTGCGTATCATATAGTGGTAATTAACTGCCAAGTCTACTCAGTAACCAGCACCTATTACAGCACGCAGCTGTTGGGCATTATGAAGCAAGCTTTTGACTCCAATATCTAGCCATCTAGGATTGAAATACGCACATTTAGTTCCCTCTCTGAAGTCACACCCATTGCCAGGAGAATAAAGTCTCTGACATAGCAGTGAAAAAAGATGGCCTTCTCTTCCTCCGAGTAGCAAGCAATGTGTTGCCCCAGGGGTGTCTGCTGAAAGATGTCTAGAAACTTCTCTACATGGGCTGGAAAACAAAATGGGATTTAAATTGTTTTGCATCTCCCCCGGAAATAAAGTCAACCAGTCCTCTTTAAAGCATAAAACAAATTTAGTATGAAAAATACCATTTTCTTGATTTTGTTTTTTACTTAATTTATCAAATTTTTATTCTGCCCATTGATCGGTTTACAAATTATAGGCGCTAATTTGAGCCAAATTTCCCCAGGTTTTTCAAACAAAGGGACCTCTTTTTACCTTCCCCTGGGTATTCTCACCTTCATTATTAGTAATATGTTGTGCATGAACCCGAAGATCTTCCAAATAATCCTTTATCTTCCAGCTGAAAGGCATCTTATTGCCAGCCCCTGTAGACACTTCCATGTAATTCTGCACCTGAATTGGTTTTGTTTGAGAGCTAAAGAAGATAAAGAAAGTTTAAAATGAACAGATGCTTTTGCAATACATTTTGAATGGATTAATGTAAAAAATAATGAAGCAAGGTATAATGAGATATATTTTAAGTACACATAAAATGTGATCAGTTTAAAGACAGACACTGAATGGATTGATGATTATATGGTGGATGTATTTAATGCACACCATTTTTTATATATGGAGTAACAGAAATACCATCACATAAAACAAATGTTTCAATTTGTTCTACTGAAACTCTGTTTACTCTACCTCACTCTTTTATCAAAATATTGGCGATTGGAGAGATTTTTTTACTATCTTTTAGCTATATTCAACAGAGGTGCTAACTGTTGAGCCAATCTTTTTAATAAGCCATGTTGACTGAAAAATGAAAAGCTAGGACTTCCGGTTGAATCGCCGGCGCCGATGGCAGCTTCTACGCAGGCTGCCCTCCCCGAAGAAATGTGAGCCGCGGGAAACAGCGTTCATCAGCTGTCCCGCAGTTCGGAAATCCTCTCCCCCGGGCAAAGGGGGAGAGGTGAGTTTCTCTAGTAGGGGTAGATCTCGCTAGCCCCCATACTTTTAAAGTGGTGGAGGTGAAGGCGAGATCCCCCGGAGCTGGGGACTTCTCCATTCTTTGGGCTGCCTTCGTTCGACTGTTCGTTCGAAGCAAGACGCGGATTCAATCTCTGCCTTCAAGGAGAGTATGAGTGTAACTTTTAAAGACAGACAGAGCCTGCCAGGAAGAACTGACGGGGATTTTTGTTGAAACTTTAACTCTAAACTTATGATCTTCTTCTGCTTTTTTTTTTAACTGAATTTGAAGAGCAAAGAATATGGCTGCGGAAGGGCGTTTCTTTTCTCCTCTGCGGTGAATTTACATGAGACTTTCACTTTCTAGAAACTTTCTCTTGGACTTTCAATTAGCTACATTGTATTGATGAAAAAGGTTTTTCTTTGTTTTTATCGTTGCTGGTGTTTTTACAAAAGTTTAAAGTATTTTTAAAAGATTTTTACAAGATTTTGATATAAAAGGGGAAAAGGGAAAAAAAAAAAGTAAAATGGCTTCTAAGCGTGGAGCTTGTGTTCCTCAAAAGATTATTTCCCCCTCTGTTGTTCAGATGCCACAGCAGACTAAATCAAGGAGTCCTCCACCTTCCCCCCCAGCCCCAGCTCCAGCCCCAGCCCCTACATTAAAAGATATTCAAGATGCATGAAAGGATACTACAAGACAAATAAGAGCAGAAATGGAAGACCTGTTTGAAAAGAAGAATGTAGAGATGAGACAAGATATATTGTCAGCATTGCAAGGCCTGGCTGGGCATGCAGAACATATTGAGGGAAGGGTGGATGAAGTGGAAGAAAATCTTGAGTGTTTGGATTTTAGAATGGAGAAAGTGGAGGAGAATGTGGATTCAATTCAGAATGAGGTCATCTTGTCACAATACAGAGAGATGGAATACGCAGTGAGAATAAGAGGACTTAAGGAGGACGCTCAAGAGAAGTTGGAGGAAATTGCAGTGGATTTGGCTGGGGTTCTGTCTTGTCAACCTGAAGAAATTATGAGAGATGTGGAAAAATTTTTTAGAGTGAATTCATGGGTTGCAAGACAGAGGAACCTTCCAAGAGATGTGGTCATCTATTTTACTAGAAAGTCTATTCGTAATCAAATTATTCAAGCTTTTTATAATCAAAAATTTCAAGTATTAGGTCAAGATGTTATAATTTTGAAGGAGATACCATCTAAAATACCTAAAAGAAGGAAGGATTTTGCTTTTCTGGCTGAAGAATTGAAGAAGCAGCAAATTCAATTTAGATGGGAGATACCTGCTGGTCCTGCGCGACTCCCCCCTCGCGCAGGCCTGGCCTAGTACCATCTCAAGGGCCTACCTCGATGAAGGGGTGTGGAGCCCCGAGAGGTGGTATGCAGCAGATAGGAAAAAAACAAAATTGAGGACTTTTTTAGCGGGGTGTTTTAATAAATTTTTAGGGGGTATGGGGGTGGTTAGGGGAGGCAGGGGGGATGTCTCCCTGGGGCCAAGGCCGGCCATGTCTGAGGGACGCGGCTTTGGAATGGTGAGGGGGGAGGTTGGGGGGTTAAGAGAGGGTGGTGTGATTAGTACGGTCAGTGGGAGGGGCAGATATGGCGGGAGCAGAGGACCATATCGGGTTTTGGGAGCACGCACACGCTGCTTACAAGCTTGTGGGTGCTCCGGTCCTCAGGACTCTACTCGGTCCCCAGGGATCTTAGACCCTCCGGCCC